AAAACTAGTGACGATCGCACCTTCAACATACAAAAGTTCTGATATCAACATTTGTGACGACAAATTATTACACTCGTCATTAAATAGACTTTCTAATATTTTTTCATTCGGCACGCTGCAATAGAAAATGCCTGTGAAGGGAAAAAGGCTGGAATAGTTTGCTAGGGCGGGCCGAATGAGAAAATATTAGAAAGTCTATTTAATGACGAGTGTAATAATTTTTCGTCACAAATGTTGATATCAGAACTTTTGTATGTTGAAGGTGCGATCGTCACTAGTTTTTTACCTCGTTAAGAGGTGTTTTTATTTGATATATAAAACAAAGAAATTTATGGGCCAGGGCATTTTTTTATTTTTAATGTAATCTTTTTATAAAATAAAATGTTGGCTAAAATAAAATATTCATGAGCACATTTCATTCTTGAATTTTAGTCACAACGCGTTTTTTATAATTTTTTTTCAATGACTAGAAAACTACATTTAAATCAATTGATCTTCCCGTTTTTTATTGATTTCGAACTGCCCAATTGGAGGCCTGTCTGTTTGGGGCTTTATCGCCGTTTGCATAATGTAGCAATTCCAATTAGTTTTGCCAACTAAATTTCAATTACATTTCAAACACACTCGCACATGAGTAGCTTGAAATGCCATGGCAATGAAGTTGGCCCAGAGATGATTACGGCCCACAAAGTGTTGCCTAGTTTGCCGCGCACGTTTTTGGCAAAACATAAAAATTAAATGCGGATAGCTAAAATATAGAAATAAATTTCGTGAAAATGCATAGATACTCGCTTGTGCATATATGCATTTGAGGTTTTTTTGTTTAGAATGGGGTCTAAAAGCCCAAAAGCATATCATTTGTTGCTCATTTAAATACCGTAATTAAGTGATATCATGGTATCTAATATGAGTTCCCATTCCGCTTAAAGTGGCGTGTTCGCCGGCAATGGTGGAGAAGCGATGGGGCTTTAGAAGCGCAAACAGTTGCTTATTTCGAAATTTTATTTAGAGCTAATTGTTTCCTGGGCCAGGTCAGCAGTAGTGGCCAGCAAAGCAGGCCCCGTGTACGTGAATAAGCCAGTTGGTAAGCAACCCCGGAACCCAAACATACACACACATATGGACGTATAGTATGCCGGCCTATATGCATACGCACCTCGGCAAAAGCCTGGCCGAAAGCCAAAGGACGCCCCTCGATTGTTTGTTTATTTGCCTGTTTGCCATTGCCCGTTCACACCGCAGCGAATCGAACGGAATGGAATCGAAGGGGGGAATGGGATTGGGATTGGGCCGTTCGGATTTAATATTTTCCAGCCCCATTCGATATATACCTATATATTTAACTTCTGCGGCACGAGGGCAACTTTGAAGTGTTTAAAGGAGGCAAAAGGATATATTGAAAATGTTGCCTACCATAAAAGGAGCCTTCCCATATATAATTATATCAAATATGTAAGGAATGCTAGTTATGGGCGGAAAGTACTCAGTACGTAATTATTGGTCAATATTATATTCTAATAAAAATATTACTAGTCTTAAAAATTAAGAAATATATTACAAAATATTTTTGTACAGCGAGTTCTAAGTACTTGCATTGATTTAACCGTTTTTAAAATAAATATATAACTTTTATATTAATCGTGCAATTTAAAGTGCTGTATAAATCGATCACTTAAATAAGCAGTATAATAAATTAAAATAAATAAATAATAATAATAATTCTAGTAGCCCTTTAAATTTAAAAATCTAGGACTATTGCTAAGAAAACCATTAAAATAATTTCACATAGACGGTGGAGTATGCTAATGTCCAACTGTCTTTGTTAATCAAAATGAACCCTGTTAATTATCTGTTTTTGATAATAACAATTATATCCAACGGTTTCCTGTCATCCACATCCCTTTCCTGCGTTCAGCCGAGGATTAGGCACTGACAGATCCACATGGGGCCCGGTAGTAAACCTTATTTACCGTGACCGCCCGCTGCGAGCAAAAAGTCAGCGGTTGCCACTGGACAACCCTTAACCCCTTAATAGGTCTTAGCACATGCTTCCCCCTTTCAGACCCCCTTTCCCCATTTCACCCACACAACAGCGTTGCTAACCACAAAAATACACGGAAAATAATAATAAAGTAGTTTCTTGATTTCAAGATTTAGAGAAATTAAGAAGTTTAAATTTTATTTTTAAATTTAAAAGTTACGATGAACGCTTGGACATCTTTAAGGACTCGGTATTTTTCTATATTTAATATTGTTAAAGGATATATTTAGTTTCTTATAAATAAGTGGGAACGTGATCAACAGACAGCAATCAATCAATGCCTTTTGAATCTTATAAACCTATTATCTAAACCCGGTAGAGGGTTATATTATTTTTGAGTTAATAAATATTAATATTATTTAAACATTTTTTTCTGCGTGCAGATGGACAGCAGCAGAGAGAGATAGCGAGTGAAGGGAGAATGAGGTGGGGCGAGTTGCAGCTGCAGCTAATGAAACACATCTCCGCTGGGTGGACCGCAGCAAGACGTGTTTAAATTTAGTTTTCGTTAATTTTCGTTTGTTGTCTTTTGTTGTCCAGCGGTTGCCTTGCCCTTCTGACCCCCACCCCCACCCTGTACTCCCCTCTTTTTACGTTGTTGTTGGTATCAGCAGCCGTTGCTGATAAGAGCGTTGCGGTCGTCAATTTGTAACGAAACATATGTTTGCCCCAAGTGACAGGCGCACTCACGCTGCGTTCTTGTCCGCTGATAAGGGAAATACATGGAAGAACGAAGTGATGGGGAGGGGGAAGTGGTCGGTGGAAAGGAGGGGTGGGGGAGCGGTACTGACTCAGGGAGCGGTCAATGTCCGTTGGGTGCCAAGCGCTCCATATAATTACGGGGGGTTACCCATCAGCAGGAAAGCAGGGACTTTTTACAGAACACATATGATAAATTTAAAAATTTTAATAATTTAATTTCATCAATAATTAATTTATTTGTCAATATTCTAGAATTAAATCAGTATTTTTATTAAATTAAATTTTAATTAAAATAAGCTTTTTATCAATAATTAATTTATTTCTAAATATTCTAGAATAAAATCAGAATTTTTTTAAAATGAAATTTTAATTAAAATAAACTATTCCTGTTTTCAAAATTGTTGGTTTAAAACCTATGTAACGCAGAGATCATAAATTATTTTTTAAGAAACGGTGTTTAGAATAATAAAAAGTTTCATAAAATTATACTAGAAAATGTTTATGTAAATAGAGATTTGGTTACAAATCAGTAGAAATTTTCTTTGGATATAAAAATCCCAGAGAATTATACAAGGGTACTACAGGACTCGACTCCTTATTTCCGTAAATAATTTCCTTCAATCCGATTCGATTCACTCGGGAACAGTTGTCTTTACTTTACTTTTGTTGGGCAGGGTCACTTCAGCGAGTTGTCATACAGATAAATATGTTTATTTGCCCGGACTTACATTCCAGCGCGCCTCTGTATGGGTGTGTATCTGTGTGTGTTCAGAACTGAACATATATTTACCTTATTACTCCGCTTAATGCCAATACACGCCGTCCGCATATCTATTTCTCTGGTTCTTTTTCTTCATGTTTACGTTTTGCGTTAACTCACATATCATATTTTATTTCATAAATTCTCTTTTTCTTTTCCTTCTCTGTGTAGTATTTTTTTACAATTTTCCCTGCCACTTTTGCGGTTAATTAAACCTTGCGGTCGCTTATTTTATGTAAATAAATGATAAAATACGCACACACATTTGTGTTTATATTTATGAGAAAAAAAGTGCAGTTCGTGACCAGCTGCATCCGACTGAAATTCGTATGTGGTTCAATTTGATAGTTAATTTGTATTTGCTTATTTATAGCGGCTAAACAAACGCTGAAAATTATGGATGGCTCAATTAACAAATATTTGAAGGCGCAAAAAATCATATTGATTGTTTTTTTAAGGCGAAAGCCAGCGTGGGAAAATTGAACTGAACTTAGAGAAAATTCAAAATTTCCCGCCTCATTTGATACGAAAACATAGGTGGCGGCAGTCATCTTTAAAATTAAAGCGCATTGACATACAGATGGCGCTGCAATGATAACTATGGTACATTTTGGCAGCAAAATGGTTTTGATTATAAAAGATAAATTACATTTGAATAAATATATACAAATTGCACCAAAAACTACAGAAAATGAAATTATAGTAAATAAACATAGAAAGGGTTTTTTTATTTTAATTTTAGGAGTATTTTTTATAAACATTTTAAGGTAAAACCAAGTCGGTTTGGTAAGTTTTACTTTATGGCTAATTAAAAAGTTTATTCGACCTACTTAGGGGAGTACGCGTCTGAATTTCAATACACTTCATGCTACTTACATAGAACAAAGTATTTATATGGGTTAAATATCTATACTCTACACGGACATGGATTGGGGATCACTCTTTCTTATTTTTCTGAAGAAAATCCTGATAAGATTATAATTCTATTTTTAGTAGATTTATCTTTATTTGATGCTTATCTCTCCTAATAAAAGAATTACAAATGGTTATGAAATAAGAGAATTTTCCCAATTTCCTCGAAACCTTTTGATTACTTAAGTGTTAAGGCGCAGAAACTTTTAATATAAAAAAGTAAAAATTAATATTTACGTTAAAGTTCAAGTAATATTACAACTTTAAAGCGAAGTATTGCAGATTTTTCTCTGTTACCAGCATAAACTAGCCAGATTATCTCTGAGATAATCTACGTCATCCAGGTGAGAAAAGTTCCGTGAGTTTTATCACTTGGTGAAGGCACTTAAATATAGGCAGAACAAGTTGAAAAGCGAAACGCCACAGACGCTTTTATCTTGCAATTTTTGGATTGTTCAACGGAAAGTTTTAGTTTTTTAACAAAGTGCAAAATCCATCAATAGAGTGAAATAAAAACCATTTAAACAACAAAAAGTCAAAATACTTTTATTTGTTTATTTTAATGAAATAAAATAATATAGAAACATGCAGGCTAATAAGCTGCCAATAAATCCCCGCGAATCTGCGGGGATTTTCTCCGTTTTAATGTTCTGGTATGCTACAAACTACAATGAAACTATTATTATAATGAACAAAGCTTAATTATGTAAAAAATAGACCCTTATCAGTAGATAACAGAATCTGAGAGATGATCACGTCCGTCACTTCTGGTTATCGTGTTTGTATAAACTTTAATGGCAGAGGGCTATCCTAAAAATTATCATAATATTTATTAATACAAGTGTACTCTCTTCCACAGCTTCGCATTGCCCATTCTCTTCAAGGGCAGAAAAAAGACTCTAGAGCCCACCGATCTTTATACGACTTTAAGGGGACACAAAGCGGATACTCTGGGCGATAAATTCTTTGAGACCTGGCAGGCAGAAGTCAAGTCCTGTCGGGATAAGCCGAAAAAGGAACCGAGCATTCTAAAGGTCATACTCAAAGTTTTTGGATGGAAACTGTTCGTATCGGGCATATTTTGTGGGGTTCTGGAATTGGGAACGAGGTGAGTAATACAATCATATTATTTACTTTAATAAATATTTCTTTTTTTGTAACAGAGCTACTTTACCACTCATTCTGGGAGCTCTGATATCCGAGTTTACAATCAATGGAAATGGAGACGGACCTTGGGCTCAAATTTATGGATTAACCTTGATTATAACTACACTGATTTCTGTTCTTATGTTCCATCCCTTTATGATGGGTATGATGGTGAGTTTTAAGAGTTCTTGTTTATATTATATTGATATATATTTATTTACTTCCTGTAGCACCTGGCCATGAAAATGAGAGTGGCAGTGAGTACGGCTATATATCGAAAAGCCCTCCGGCTAAGTCGCACTGCCTTGGGAGACACAACGACGGGTCAGGTGGTCAACCTTATATCAAACGATTTGGGCCGCTTCGATAGGGCCCTAATACACTTCCACTTTCTGTGGCTGGGGCCGTTGGAGTTGCTCATATCTTCGTACTTCCTATACCAACAAATAGGACTAGCCTCACTTTACGGAATCGGAATATTGCTGCTATATCTTCCGATACAAACCTTTATGAGCCGACTCACTTCGAGGCTGAGATTGCAAACAGCCCTAAGAACCGATCAGAGGGTTAGGATGATGAATGAGATTATATCTGGCATCCAGGTGATTAAAATGTACACCTGGGAGAAGCCCTTTGGCAGGCTAATCGAGCGGCTACGTCGCAGTGAAATGAGCTCCATTCGCAAGGTGAACTTTATCCGAGGAACTCTTCTGTCATTTGAGATTACTCTGGGCAGGATTGCGATATTCGTAAGCCTTCTGGGATTCGTCCTGATGGGCGGAGAATTGACTGCAGAGCGGGCTTTCTCCGTCACCGCTTTCTACAATATCCTGCGACGCACAGTGACCAAGTTCTTCCCGAGTGGAATGTCGCAATTCGCAGAGATGATGGTTACGCTCAGGAGAATTAAGGGATTTATGATGAGGGACGAGTCTGGAGTTCTGGAACTCGGAGGTGGACATATAAATGGGCTCTTCAAAGAGGAACCCCTAGTGGAATTGCAATCCTTTCAAGCCCGCTGGAATCGGGAGCACACGGAGCCTGTTTTGGATAATATCAACATTAGTCTTAAGCCACCGCAATTGGTGGCTGTCATTGGACCTGTGGGCTCGGGTAAATCGAGCCTTATTCAAGCCATATTGGGCGAACTTCCTGGTGAATCGGGAAAGCTTAAGGTAAAGGGAACAATCTCGTATGCCTCCCAGGAACCCTGGCTTTTCAACGCCTCCGTTAGGGATAATATTCTATTCGGTTTGCCCATGGATAAGCACCGATATCGTAGTGTCGTCAAGAAGTGTGCTTTGGAGAGAGATTTCGAACTGCTTCAGGGAGATCGCACTTTTGTGGGCGAAAGAGGAGCCTCTCTTTCCGGAGGTCAGAGAGCCAGGATCAGTTTGGCCAGAGCTGTTTACCGGCAGGCAGATACCTATCTCCTCGATGATCCTTTGAGCGCTGTGGATACCCACGTAGGTCGCCACTTATTCGAGGAGTGCATGCGTGGCTATCTGAGGGATAAACTAGTGATCCTGGTGACCCATCAACTGCAATTCCTGGAGCACGCCGATCTCATTGTGATCATGGATAAGGGAAAAATAACCGCTGTTGGGACCTATGAGGAAATGCTCAAAAGCGGCCAGGACTTTGCCAAGCTTTTGGCCAAGGAAACCCAGGAGGAAAAGGAAAATTCGGATCACGAGCAGGAAAAAGCAGCTGGCGATGCCAAGGAGGATAAATCAAATTACTCCCGTCAAAGCAGTCGATTGAGTAGAACCAGTGTCTCCTCAATGGATTCTGCCACGGATTCTGTGCTGGAAGACGAAAGGCAACCCGTTCAGGAAGCGCGTTCCAAGGGAAAAATTGGGTTGGACATGTATGGGAAGTACTTTTCAGCAGGTTCTGGATGGTTTCTGGTCATTATGGGGGCTTTTTTCTGCCTGGCCACTCAAATTCTGGCCTCCGGGGGAGATTACTTCCTGTCCTACTGGTAAGTAGCACAAAATGTTTATTGTAAGTTCAATTTTCTAAGACTTTTCACTCACAGGGTAAAGAACAACGACTCCTCTTCTTCGTTGGACATTTACATCTTTAGCGGAATCAATATTGCCCTGGTGATCTTTGCCCTGCTCCGAACGATTCTCTTCTTCAGCATGGCGATGCACTCTTCCACCCAGCTGCATAATACCATGTTCCAAGGGGTCTCCCGCACGGCCCTCTATTTCTTCCACGCCAATCCCTCGGGCAGGATCCTCAATCGATTTGCCATGGATCTGGGACAAGTGGATGAAATACTGCCTGCCGTCATGCTCGATTGCATTCAGATATTCCTCACAATCACTGGAATTATAGGAGTGTTGTGCATCACAAACCCGTGGTATTTGGTAAATACCATGACCATGTTCCTGGCTTTCCACTTTCTCCGCAAGTTCTATCTGAGCACTTCGAGGGACGTGAAGAGATTGGAAGCGGTGGCCAGATCCCCTATGTATTCGCACTTCAGTGCCACCCTAAATGGACTGCCCACCATCAGAGCCATGGGTGCCCAGGAATTGCTGACTAGGCAATACGATAACTACCAGGATCTCCACAGCTCGGGATACTATACCTTCCTGTCCACAAATCGTGCTTTTGGCTACTATCTGGACCTGTTTTGCGTGGCCTATGTCATATCGGTGACCATAATGAGCTACTTTTATCCCCCGCTGGACAATCCCGGGCAAATTGGTCTGGCTATCACGCAAGCTATGTCCATGACTGGGACTGTACAGTGGGGCATGCGACAATCCGCTGAGCTGGAGAATTCCATGACGTCGGTGGAACGAGTGCTGGAATATAGGAACCTGGAATCAGAAGGAGAATTCGAGTCCCCAGAGGATAAGAAACCACCCAAAAATTGGCCACTAGTGGGCGAGATTAGGGCGGAAGAGCTGAGCCTGCGATACAACCCCGATCCCAAGTCGGATAAAGTATTAAAGTTACTGAATTTCGTTATCCAACCACGCGAGAAGATTGGCATTGTGGGAAGAACGGGTGCCGGAAAATCATCGCTTATCAATGCCCTCTTCAGGTTGTCCTACAACGATGGGTCCATGGTGATAGACGGCAGGGATACAGCCGAAATTGGACTTCATGATCTGCGAAGCAAGATCTCGATAATACCCCAGGAACCCGTTCTTTTCTCCGGCACCATGCGCTACAACTTGGATCCCTTCGAACAGTATTCCGACGACAAGTTGTGGGAGGCCCTAGAAGAGGTGAGATATTGTAATATTCATTGCAGCTAGAACTTAACAATATTTTTCTTGTTAGGTTCATCTTAAAGAGGAGGTGTCCGAGTTGCCAAAGGGTCTTGAAAGTCTGATAGCGGAAGGGGGTGCCAACTACAGTGTGGGTCAGAGGCAATTGGTCTGCTTGGCCCGGGCAATTCTCCGCGAGAATCGCATTCTAGTGATGGACGAGGCCACGGCTAATGTCGATCCCCAAACGGACGCCCTTATACAGTCCACCATCCGCAGGAAGTTCAAGGATTGCACCGTGCTGACCATAGCCCACAGGTTAAACACGATCATAGATTCGGATAAGGTAATGGTGTTGGATGCCGGCAATCTGGTGGAATTCGGTTCACCCTTTGAACTTTTGACGCAGTCCTGGAGTAAAATCTTTTACGGCATGGTCTTGCAGACAGGTCGATCCAGTTTTGAGCACCTTTTAAAGATAGCACATCAGGTGAGTAAAAGCAATAAAATTATATAGTATTTCTCTAATGTATTTTTTACAGGCCCACGAGAGTAAATTGCTGTCGGAATAAAAGCCAAATATATCGGTCTGCCAATAGATCTTGATGTTTTTAAAAATAATTGTACATTTTAAAAATGTTTTAAAATGATGAGCACTTAATATACGCATAGTATTAAAACTTGTATTAATAAAAAAACTACAAACTCAAAATAAAAACTCTTTAATTAAATTGATTCCTGGTCATTCCACATTTCAAATTTACCCGCGCAACATATTACAGTATGGCCGTTTGTTAAAAATACCTTTGTTTTTCTATCGAAATCGATAGGTTCAAAAGGTAAACAAACATATGAACGCGAAGAGCGCAATAATTTTATTAAACATGGCCAAAAATGTGAAGAAACAAACGTTGGCCAACAAATTGGCCAAGAGAGGAGAGGTGATACAGCCCACGGAGATAATGAGCCGGCAGAATCGGGCGGATAATGTGCGAGTAAGCGGTACCTAAAATCATGATTACAGCAGAAGTAAAGACGTAGTTATTGTACTTTCAGGATATTGAAGACCTAGTGGGTTTGGGTTCTAGTAACTCCATTTACTTCTCCCCGATTCGAACCCGCAAGCAGCGTCTCTTAAATGGGCAACACCTTAAAGTGGAACCCCTATCTCCAAGTCGAGTGGTACCAAAAAAAAACAAGATGGAAGAGGGGAATGTAACCAAAATTCAAATGGGGTCCGCTACGGTAGTTAAATGCAAAGTGGTTCAAGAAGCTGTAGATTCCCCCATACGGATTGATAAGATCAAGAAGGAACTGGAACCACAGATAAAGCAGGAACTAAATTTACAAGAGAATCAGGAGTTATTAAATAATATTAAAACAGAACTGGATACCCAAGGGGATACGCATTTATATATGGAAGTGCAAGCACCACATCCTTTATGGTATATTCATTTAGAAAACATACGCATCATGAGAACCTCTAAAAGTGCTCCTGTGGACACTATGGGATGCCATCGCTGTGCGGACTCCAAAGCAGATGCAAAGGTATTCATAAAAAATAGGTTGAAAAATTATAAATTAATATTATTTTACAGACCCAACGCTTCCAAAACTTAGTAGCTTTGATGCTATCCAGTCAAACCAAAGATCAAACCACCTTTGAAGCCATGAATCGCCTTAAGGACCGAACTCTAACTCCTCTCAAATTAAAGGAAATGCCAGTGGCGGAACTGGAGAGCCTACTGCATCCGGTATCCTTTTATAAGGTTAGTCACAAAATCACTAAAAATCACTCAAATGAGATTTATTGCTTCCTTCACCAACCCATTGCAGAACAAAGCCAAGTACCTCAAGCAAACTGTGGAGATACTTATGGAAAAATATGATTCGGACATTCCGGATAATCTAAAGGAGCTTATAGCTCTTCCAGGTGTTGGGCCCAAGATGGCTCATATATGTATGGCGGTGGCCTGGAATAAAATCACCGGGATTGGAGTGGATGTCCATGTGCATCGCTTATCAAATCGATTGGGCTGGGTACCAAAGCCCACAAAGGAACCGGAACAAACCCGAGTCGCATTGGAGAAGTGGCTGCCTTTTAGTCTCTGGTCGGAGGTTAATCATCTTTTTGTGGGATTTGGCCAAACCATTTGTACGCCAGTGAAGCCAAATTGCGGAGAATGCTTGAACAAGGAAATTTGTCCTTCAGCCAACGCTGAATCTCAACCAAAAAAGAAGAGGGACCGATAGAAAGATAAATTTAAGTGAAGATCTACAAAAACTAAATGTTTATAAAATTTAAAGTATTAAGCGATGAATTGTGTCAGCCATCTCAGGAAGAATAAGTTAAAAATGGACTACAAGTCCAAGAAATAAGTCTTAATTTAGAAAAAACAAAAGGATAATTAGTTTTTAGTTACATCGATTCCATTAAAAAACATTAAAATATTAAAGATTAAGACTTGAATTTAAAAAACAATGAAGTTGCATAGTTTTGTTTTTTTTCTTCTTTATAAAACGATTTTAAAATACGACTTAGTTTTGAATTCGATTTTTAAAATTAGGCTACCTTTTTTCTTTTGTATTCAGTATATACCAAAATGTTGGTATTATTCGGAGTCCAAGGAACGGTCACACTATCACCTCTAAATTCGCGCGTTTTGTTGTTTGCCGGCAGCTATTGTGAAATTAATTCAAAAAACATTATTGTAAGCCCTGAAAAGCCAGCAAAATGAACGATTCATGTAAGTAGATGCCGTATGCTAACGAAAATAATAGAACAACTAACATATACTCGTTTCCAGTTGGAGATTTCAACGCCACACAAACGGCGCCCACGGGAGCAGCCAGCAATCAGAAGGGAGAGGTGAGTGAATAAAACATAAATATTCAATAAACTAAACATATTTAAAAACAGGGAATAGTGCCACTGGTGGTGAAGCAGATTGTGGACGCCCCGGAGGGCAACATCGAAATGTTCGGCATGCAATACGGCATGGCCTGTGTGGTGGCCATAGTGCGAAACATCGAGACTTCCTCGACGAAGATTACCTACACCCTGGAGGACCACAGCGGCAGGATCGATGCGCACTATTGGTTGGAGGAGGGCGATGCCCTCAAGGCCCCCGAGGTCATGCTGAACAACTACGTGAAGGTCTATGGCACCACGCGATCGCAGGCGGGCCAGAAGACCCTAATGGTCTTCAAACTGCTGCCCGTTCTGGACCCGAACGAGCTGTGCACCCATCTCCTGGAAGTGCTCAATGCGCGCTACAGGGCCGAGGATTACCAGAACAAGGGCGGATCTGGGGCAGTGGCTTCTTCCGGCTCCATCGCTGATTTCACCGCCTCCCAGAGCTCGGCCATTGTAAGTGGGCTGGATCCCAAGCAGCAGGCCGTCTTCCAGGCCATCAAGAGCAATGTATCCGAGGAGGGCATCTCCCGCAAGGAACTGAAAGCCAAGTTCTCGCACATCAGCGACTCAGAGTTGACGTAAGCGATATTTTTCAATAATATGTTAAAATTTGCTATTTTGTATACCTTACTTTGCTTTAACCTTTCCGTATGATTTAGGAATGTTGAATTATTCTAACATTTGTTCTCGTTTGTTCTTCTAGCAACATTCTGGACTTTATGATTTCCGAGGGGCACATTTACTCCAGCATTGATGCTGATCATTTTATTTGCACAATGTAAATCGAATCTTAATCACAAACATGTTATTCCAAAATGCGTATTAAATAAGTATATTAAAAAAACCCCTAATTATAAACTTGTTTTCTTCAATTAAATTAAAAACCCTTAAAAATAACGTAATTATAAAACATAAAACAACTATTCTTCGCAAGCTATAATTTTTTTAGAATTAATTTGACGAACGTTTCAATTTCTACAAAAAGTAGCAAAGTTCCGTGAAACTTTTTAAGAAATAACAGTTGTTTGAAAACTCAACAGGACCCAATATTTTCTTAATTTTTTTGTGAGGCAGCTTCTATACAAATCCAAAAACAACTGAGAGCAACGCTGAGTGGAAAAATGGACAGTGGACTGAGCGCTGAAATATCGCTCGCCAGCCACCGTGCAGTGAAGGTTTGCTTTAAGAAATAGTCAAAGAATTGGTGTTTAATCGTAAAAATGGTGTCGAGTGTAAAACTGATCTTGGCTTTCACAGTCTTGGCCACTTTGGCTTGCACGGGTAAGAAAATTCCCGGAATTTCTGTATTGAATTAAATGCCACCGGTTCCATGAAGCAGACTATTGATGGTAAGTACGACGAAGAATCATTACATGAGCATTGAACAGAAATTTTAAAAATGTTATATTTAATTATTGCCAAAACTATAATTTCAGTTCCTGGTAACCCCCAGATCGTAAGGAGCTGCTTCTTCGGCGACATTACGATCGGATGTCAGACTGATACCTCCCTGACGACTAACAAGCTTCTGAGCTGCGAGGTCTGCACCAAGACGAGTGCAACGGATCCTCCTCACTGGATCCCACTGCCGGAGTCATTCAACATTTCTTCCCGTGTGTAGTATTTATCACTAACACCGCTGGAGCATCTTAACCATATCGAAAATGGTTATAAAAGCACCTCAAGGGCCTTTAGACACTTTTAAATCTCTCTTAATTGTTATACACCTTTTAAGCTATTTTTGTCTGCAATAAAAATCACGTTATTTATTTCCTACGCAGCGCAAGTTTATTTCAGCCGAGCGCAATTAAAAATAAAAGCCTGTTGAAAAAAAATTAAATTTAAAAACAAGAGAGAACGCTATAGTCGGGTTGTTGTCCCGACTATCTAATACCCGTCACTCGGCTAAAGGGAGTGCGAGGGAGATAGATATATACCATTTTTTTGATTGCGTATAACTTTTTATTGAATGGTCCGATTTGAAAAATGTCTTCTACATTTCGATAGGTATAAGTATACACAACAAAATTGCATATATACTTCTCGGAAATCTTTAAAGGTGTGGGCGCCAGACATATTTTAAAATTGTTAGTGGGCGATTGTGGGCGTTAGAGGGGCGAGGCGCTTGGCTGAAATAAACTTGCGCTGCCCAAGAATATGTGTGGAAAATCTCAACCTTCTAGCTTTTGTAGTTTCCGAGATCTCAGCGTTCATACGGACGGACATGGCTATATCGGCTAGTGACCCTGATCAAGAATATATATACTTTATAGGGTCGGAAACGCTTCCTTCTCCCTGTTACATACTTTTGCACGAATACAATATACCCCTTTACTCTACGACTAACGGGTATAATTAGCATCAGAAGATGTTTGGCGAATTTAATAAAAATATCGTACTATCCAAATTCTTTGCCTATTTCTAGCTTTTTTTAAAGCTAGTTTAGCTTTTTTATGACCCACAGAACAGCACTGCTCTCAGCTGTTCATACTCACCACAAATCAGAAGTAGCCGGCATTCAACATATTATATGGGTGTAGTTGATTTTGATTCTCAGCTCGCGTCGGTTATTGCATTCTGCCTTAAAGTCCATCGCCTGCCGCCCTAACAACAGTCTTATCAATGAATTAATTTAGAAACCTCAGCTCAGCCAACTAAAAGTACAGAGTCGAACAAAAGCCATTTAAAACATGGAGAACAAACATAAAAACTGTCTGCCATCTCTGCTTCTTCTGGCCCTCTTTTTTGGAAGTTTGGGTGAGTTTTAATGCCAATATTTAATGTTTAATTGGGCAAATTGGTTTTGGCGAATTCAAAGCACGTAGAAAGTTAAAGCCAAGTTGAATGAACTATTTGTTGTGGCTTTTACCCACACAAACAAGTGATAACATTGACATTGCCGATCCCCCACTCACTCACACAAACAAAAAGCCGAAGAGAACTTTTATCTGACACACTTTCCATTTGGAGCAGCTGATTTAAGACAGTGGGACGAATAAGTGACAAAGGTGTTAATGTTTTGAAGGTCAATTAAAATTTTATGTTAGAAGTGCTAATTTGGAGTTTTACATTTCTTGTTGTTATGTCCAAAAGTGTGTTTGCTCAATTCAGTAATTTCAATTTATATATTTGTTTATCTTTATTTAATATAAGACTAATAAATTAGTACAAATATAGAATTTTAAAGATTCCCGCAAACATTAGAACACCCGAAAATAATCGACCTTTGCTATCTATCACCCCATCTCTTCTTTTGGATTATCTCTTCCTCATACACTTTTTCCACTTCTCGAGATAATGCCGCCCACTGTGCAGGGCCACTTGTTGATAACCTCGACCCAGGCTAAGCAAATGAAAAAAATATCAGCGTGGGGCTCTGATTCTGGGTGAAAGTTATAACAATTCGGTTGACTAATGACGTGTTCCATTCTTTCTTCTTCGCCCACATTTCTTTAGACCAGGGAAGCACAGCTTTAATTCCTCCGAGCAGCCAGCAAATCTTCAAGCTGCAAAATCAAGTGATTCTCCAGGAATTGGGAAAAGACTCAAGTGCCAAGGAGACGAGATATACATTTGAGAGCGATCTTAAGATCAATTCGGTTTGGAGTCGTGATGAAGATCAGTTGCTGGAGGTCTTTCTCAGCGGCAGTCGGGTTGATGCCTCCGGAAAATCCCGACCCATCACCCAGATACCCGATAGGCCTTTCTACATAAGTCTGGTCAAGGGACAGCCTGAAAAGGTGATCGCCCACTCTTCGAAAGATCAATCCCTGCTTAATTTGAAGCGCGGAATAGCTTCGCTCCTGCAGCTGAGATTGGATGGCTCCCAGGAGGAGGAATTGGATGTTTCTGGCCTGTGTCGAGTGTCCTACAGTGTGAAATCTTCAACGAAAGTTGAGAAAACCAAAAGAGACTGTTCTCTGTGGGATCTCAGGGTGAACTATCACCCGGAAGAAGCTCTGGGCATTGCTCAGCAAGCCCGGGAGCAGGTCTCCTACGAGCTCTCTTCAGAGGGAACTCTTTTGAAGGCAGAGTCCGTGGAGAATCACCGCCTGAGCCTAGCGGCCAAACCGGATGTGGGAAGCTCGGTGGAGAGTACTCTAGTCCTGCAACACGTTTCCCAAGGATCGCAGGAGGTGAAACAACTGGAAAGGGACAACCTTGAGGAGGTCATCCAGAGCCTGCTGGACTGGAATCGCGTTTTCGAGCTGGAATCCGATGTAGATGGCATGATCAGCGAGATCAGAGAGCAAACTGTAAGCCATCGATTAAGAGTTTGGAATTTTTCAGAATTCGAATATGTTTTTACAGCTTGAGGAACAACTGAAGGCTTCTCTGGAGGAACTGCAATCCGAGGACGTGGGCAAATCCACGCTGGCTCTTGCTTACGTCAAACTAATCCCCTTGGCTCGCATCACCGGGCAGGAACAGTTCGAAGATCTACTCAGGGAGCACTCGAAACTGCTGCCCCAGTTGATGGATCTTCTGGGTGCTGTGCAAACCTTCGATGCGCATAATGCCACCTTTGAATTCCTCTACAAAGGGGCGGAAATCTCGACCGAGCAATTGGATCTGCTGGAGAAATACTTGCAGTCGCTAGCGGTGGCCACGCATCCGGATAGGAAAATAATCGAACATTTGTACGGATTACTCGAGCTGGAATCTATCCAAAAGCAGTTAAAGCTTAGGGAAAGCATTATCCAAACTCTGGCCACGTTAACCCGCCTAAGCCGATTCGATGTTGAGGATCCTTTGCTGCAGCAAGTGCGAGATTATATCCTGCAAGGCTTGACCTCTAAGGAGCCCACTTTGTACATCAGGGCTCTGCAGAATCTCCAGGATCCGGCCACCATTGCATCCCTGCTGGAACAGGCTCAAAGTGACAAGCAGCCGCATTTATCGGTGGCTGCTTTGCAGGCCCTGAAAGCTTTTCCTTTGAACAGCTTTGATTCGCCGCATCGAAGGCAGTTTGAAAGTATCTTCTACCAGCGAAGGCGGCGCTTTGATAGCTCCGCTCGCACCCTGGCTCTGGACATTATCCTATCGCTCAGGCCGAGTCAGGAGCAATTGGGTCACCTGTTGGAGTACCTGGCCTCCAATGATCGTCAGTTTGAGATCAAAACCTATGTGCTGCAGAAGCTGCGCATGCTGGCTGAGAAGTGCCCACGATTCAGGGCTCTGTTTAAAACGGAGCTGGCTAAAAGGAAGCAGGTGAACAACTACAATGTGCTGGGACAAAAGGGTGAGGGTTTTATTTCTTTTTTTTTTAAGTATTTAATCTTATAAACCAATCACTTGCAGGCCTGACGACAGTCCTCACCCGCCAGCTTTCTCTGGCGCCTGCCTTCAACGAATCCCTCTTGAGCACTCAGGAAGTGTACCAGGGAATCCTCAAGCGTGGCTCTGTGGAATTTCTGCTCCACGCAGGACGCTCCCAGGCTAGCAGCTTCAAATTGGGCATCTACACTGCCGGCTTGGGTTCGCTGGTTGGCGATAGTGATTCGGGTGATGGAAATGACCAGATTCCGGCGGACGATGAACTGGGTGGCGAGGAAACAGTAACGGCAGGCATGGAGATCAGTGTGCAGGGCGCCCAATTGCGACCGCTGATCTTCTTCAGCGGTCAGACGGAGCTAATGGGGCACGTGTGGGGAGGAAGTGCCTCGGACTCGACGCCCGCCTACCAGGCAACCACTTTGGCCCAGGACAACGAGCACTACATAATCCTGGCATCGGGGGCCACTCTGCATTGGCGAGTGCTGGGCGCTAGGAGTGTGGATCTCAATGGCAAGGTGGGCTTCAGCCTGTGGAACCGGAATGCTCAGACGGAGATTCAGCAAAAGTGAGTCGGATGCTGGGAAATTTATTTATTAAATGGATTTTAACATGATCTTTCTCTCTGACCTTAGCACTGGGAGCGCTGTCCTGGGTCACGTGGCCGTTGGTTTCACTTATGCGAAATTAGTCCAGGATTTCAGCCTCACCCACGAACCGAAACTGAGTCTGAATGCGGACCTGGACTTTTACAGCGGCATTAAACTGTGCATGCAGCTTCAGCGACCCGAACAGCTTCTCAAGTGAGTTTCAATAGACATATTTATTTAACATGCTTATTAATTGATTATTCTTTGCCCAGACAAACCTCCATTCGTTCGGTTTTCCTACAAAACGTGGATCGACCTTATGCCAAACATGTGCGCTCTATACTGTCCCACAAAACTGCGGGCTGCACTTTCGCCCTAAATCAGAAGAACAACGAAATGTGCAACATCATATTTAGCGACTAATGAAACTTTCTTCGAGATTATTGGGAATCCCCTGTGCAAAAAGAGATAAATACTGTAATGATATGTTAAAAACTCAGAGATTAAGACTCGTATAGTTGTAAACTCAAACGAACAAAGACAATTTAATTTTCATACTTAAAAAGCCTTTTATTTAAATTTATTTTTAAAAATGAGAATGCAATTCCTCTTCAAACGTTAAGAAATCTTTAAATTTAAAACACCCGCCACTGGTGTTGGAAATTTCGATAACGTGTCACATCGATTTATCGATAGCATGAGTTACAAACTCCCATCCCCAAATTCCACAACACTTTCAAACACTACGACGTTCTTCTTCTTCAATCCGCGGCAAAAAAAAAAGTGCACAATCAAACGCTCAAAAAGTAAATAACAATATTGCGAAATTATCAATAAAAGCGCAAATCATCGTGAACAAGGTTAATAAATGCGGAGATCCTTAAAACTCGACAACGAAAGCAGTGGTAAAAAATTAGGCCACCAAATGGTGCTCTTCTTCATTTTCTTGGGAGCATTAGAAGGCTCGTCTCACACACACACGCACGCAAATTCCAAATCAAAATCCTAATCCAGTTGCCCAAAATAAATACTCCTATTTGCCAGATATAAAAGCGAGCCAATTGAAAATGTTTATATTCAATAAATCGATATTTGTGTCACCAATTTACGCTTTAACTAATGTGCTAAGCGAAGTACTAAAATTAACAACATTTTTTCTTTCTTTTTTATTTACGCACACAAACAAAGTTGGAGTGTGAGAGAGAGACTAAATGGGAGAGTAGGAAAGAGAAAAAGAGAGTTTTGTTGTTGTTGTGCTATTCGACGTGTTCCGTTTATTTTTTTATTTCTCATGTGTGTGCGGGAATTTCTGTTGCGTGAAGTTGCAATACAAAAAAAACCACGTGTGAAATGTTCTGCAATTTTTGCATTTAGTTCTTCTGAAATATATTATCTACTTATAAAAAGTAAAACAAATGCCACTGTTAAAGAACGTTTGTTTGGCCATTAAATTTATATGCATTACCAGACAATTTTAACATAAATTAACCGGCGAAATTAGCATTCGTATTTTTCATTATCACACTCATACAGAGGCATTAAATAAAAGAGAGTAAGATCCACCCGAAAAGTAAGATCGTGTTCTCTCCTTCTCTCTGACTTCAATTGAAATTAACTAATCCCTTGTTTATATAATAAGAAACGATTCATCATTGGTTCTAAAAACCTTTATTACTTTCGTGTTTAATTTAATATTTGCCAATTTATTGATCATCAAGTCAAAGAAAATTCTAGAATTTTGAATACGACAAGCAAACAGTGTAAATTTTTTTTAAGTGCAGTATGAGAGGGGCCAGTTTTTTCCCCACACACACTTGCGCACTTGCTGTTCTCTCTCCCAGTCCCCCATTTTGCTATTCTCCCACTTTTTATAACGGTATTAGGCGCTCTGCTTATCGTTACCCCAAAAAAATTTGTTGGGTTTTTAAAGAAAATTCCAAGCTTTTTAATACGCTGCATTGCTTATATTTTATGTTTTCAAAATAACAAGTTATAAATATATTCGATGTTTATATTATTTTGTATTTTTTATTGCTCGAGCTGCCACTCTCTCAAACTTCCCTAAATCTCTTTGGTTCGACATCGAACCTAAGACTTCGCACAGTGGGCAAAACTATTCGGGCCAGTGGCGGATCTAGGATTTTGTTGTGGGGGTGATATCAGAAACTGAGTACTAGGCTTAAGGAAATAGTAAGAAAATACCACAAAAATACTAGATTTAGCGGATGAATTCCGATGAACGCCTTTAAGCCTAGTACTCAGTTCGGCTAAGAGTTTTACTAGTCGAAAAATATTAATATTTTAGGGTGACCGAAGTTTTCGGAGTTCATCCGCAATGCATGTAGAATGGTCTTACTCTCAGCAAGCAAATTAACTGGCGCCAATTTTGAAATATTACAAAATGATTAGCCGACCTAGGTCGCAAGCTTTAAATTTGCTGTTGGAATGAGGATATATATTGCTGCAACTCCTACAGGCAGTTTTCCATTGGTTTTTGGGGTTTTCATTCTATTTATAATATGTTATTGGCACACCGCTTCTGCACAAACACAGCCAAAGATCAAATTTTTTATTCTTTGGGCCGCGGCTAAAGGCGTTCATCAGAATTCATCCGCTAAATCTAGTATTTTAGTGGTATTTTCTTACTATTTCCTTAGCTCAACTGAGTACCGAGGTGGGAAAAAGTCCCCGGCTAAGGGCTTTAGCTACCTATTTGCCTCTCGCTTACTCCTATGCTTAGCTAGCAGTTTTCGTCGTACTGAGTACTAGGCTTTAGCCGCGGCCCAATGAATAAAAAATTTAATCTTTGGCTGTGTTTGGAATGAAAACCCCAAAAACCTATGGAAAACTGCCTGTAGGAGTTGCGGCAATACATATCCTCATGCCAACAGCAAATTTAAAGCTTGCGACCCAGGTCGGCTCAACGTTTTCTAATATTTTAAAATTGGCGCCAGTTGATTTGTTTGCTGAGAGTAAGACCATGCTACATGCATTGCGGATGAACTCCGTAAACTTCGGTCACACTAAAAGATTAATATTTTTCGACTAGTCTGAGTACTAGGCTTAACGTACATGCAATGCACATTGTGCATAATTTTTAAGTTTAAATCCCACTGTTCGTCAAACCTTAGAGAGCGAGAAATGGGAGAGAGGTTCGAAGACCCAGTGAACGAAAATCTATTTAAGCAACCCGCAAAAGGCGCTCTTTGTTATTGCACGATAAATTTTCGCCCGCGCTGCTTGTGCTTTCGGTTCCCGTTGAAATAAGTAAAATAAGATTCATAAACAAAAAATATGGATATAGGTCGAAAAAAATTAAACCGCTACAAGTACAAAAAATAAAAGGTTTTCGGATATATTCGAGTATATTTATAACAATTAGTTCGAAAGGCAGTGGTTATCCCTCTCGCTCTCTCACTCTTCCACTCTGTGTGTGTGCGTGTGTGTGTGTAAAGGCCAAAGAGTGGCCCACCGCCTGCCCCGCGCCACGCCCCCTCTGGCAGTAGAATAAATTGGGTAAAAAAGAATATATATCCTGCTCTTTTAGAATTTACCTGTGAAAGTGAAAACGTGACAACACGATAAAACGAACGAGGCAAGCAAAACAAAACTCGAGTGCATAAAAAAAACAAGAGGAAGGAGAAGGAGAAGAAGAACAAGTGCAGCAAATCAGAAAAAAAGAGAACGGAACAAGAACACAGAAAAAAGTAAAAATAATCAACGAAGGAAGGCAAGGAAAAGAAGAACAACAACGTCAGAAATTCACAGGTAAATTAAATTATCTCTCTTTTCCACTTTTTGTGTCTCACTCCTTCTCTCCGAAAGAATTTCCAATGTTACTTTTTCAATCGGTGTATTCTTTTTCTTCATGAGTCATTTATTTTTGATAACATTTTGCAATTCATGTGGACTAAAGTTTCAATCACAAAATGAGTATTTGGTATGATTCATTGTGATCATAAATTTTATTCTAATTTTTCTTTTCCTGAAATCCCAATACATGTTATACCCCTTTAAATTCCGTCTTTTTCTGGCTTTCATGTGTTCTTTTATACGTAGCTGATTAGATAGACGTTCTTTTTCGTTCAGCCTTGCACAATTTATGACGGCAGCAAACCATGTTTTTCCAAGTTGATAGTGCTTGAAAAAATTTACAAATTATAAAAGTTGTTTATTTAGAACTTAAATATTATGTAAGGGAAGACGTTTCGCTATTTATGGAGTTTTTAGGGATTATGTTATTAAAAATATATTGTCTGTTTATTCTAGGAGGCTAGTTAGTGTTGGTGTTTATGATATTTAAATATTTACAGCTGGTGAATTTCTTTATTTATCAGCTAATTTTAAAAGGGGATTTATCTACAACTATAAATTTGTGAATTTTTCAATATCTTTTCGGTATATCCCCTTCCTATTACTTCTAATGACTCATCAATATAAAGAACATTATTTGGTGTTTAAAAACTCACAATTGTTAAATTGTTAACTCTTGGAGTTATGAATTATTATTTTGCTTGTTCTCCAAACATTTGTTTAAGCGATTAAAATCGCACATTGGGTCATATAAATTACCTAATCTATAACTGTATAGCCTTGCCCGCTGAAATTCAACGAAAAAGCAATACAATCAGCAAACATTTCGCAAAAATTCAATTTTTGGGCGGGGTTATCTTATCTATTAGGGAGATTGCCACAAAACCGAACCAATTAAATCGGAAAAATGGGGAAATACTACTAAGATACTTTTGGAAAATATGGTATTTATCTAAATACATTTGACTGGCAATGGACAAATTGTATTTGGGTAAACTGTCTGTCAGCTGGTCCTATCGAATCGATCGCTCACGTGAGTTGACCGATACAAAACGACTTTTCAAATTTGCCTCACAAAATCATTAAAAGCAGTCGTGCAATTTACAGATCCGGCAAGCAAGCCAGCCAGAAAAAATAAAACCAAAGCTGACCGACTGGAATCAGAATCAATCGATTTCAATAAGTCAACGTCGCTTTGCACTGAGTCTCACATCCATCCATTTATGTATCCGTTTATCCAATGCACACAGGAAAAATATAACATCATTTAGGCAAACCTTAGAGTCCTTTTTACTATTTAATTTACTTTTTTTATTTTTAGAATTAGAAGCTATAACTAAACATGTAACCATTAAAATTGATTATAAATATTTGAAAATTTGAATACGAAACTAGTCGATCGATCTTAACAAATAGGAATATTTTTTTGCGTGCACAACCATCCATATCACATATTCAGCAATATGTGTACGTGCCTAGGCGACGACAACGTGATTTATTTGGTGATTCACGTCGATTATTGTCCAAGTGCAGTCTACAAGTTTCTGTCTATAAGCTCCACAATACTGTCAGTCACTTGGTTCATTGAACTCTGCCAAAGGGTCTGAACTTTGTTGAGACTAACCAACTAACCCAGTGTCTCCTACCCTTGGCAACGCATTTAAGGTGGGCAGAAAATCAATATTTTTTTCGGGCAAATCGCCCCTCTAAAATCTCTTGGCTCTCACCTTTGCTACGAATTTAT